TGTTAAGTATTGACAATGTAATGAAGGTGCGTAGTGTATACAAGACCGTTAAGTATTGACAGTGTAATGAAGGTACGTAATGTATACAAGACCGTTAAGTATTGACAATGTAATGAAGGTACGTAGTGTATACAAGACTGTTAAGTATTGACAATGTGATGAAGGTACGTAGTGTATACAAGACTGTTAAGTATTGACAATGTAATGAAGGTACGTAGTGTATACAAGACTGTTAAGTATTGACAATGTAATGAAGGTACGTAGTGTATACAAGACTGTTAAGTATTGACAATGTAATAAAGGTATGTGGTGTATACAAGACCGTTAAGTATTGATGATGTAATAAAGGTACGTAGTGTATGCAAGACCGTTAAGTATTGACAATATAATGAAGGTACGTGGTGTATACAAGACCGTTAAGTATTGACAATGTAATGAAGGTACGTAGTGTATACAAGTCCGTTTAGTATTGACAATGTAATGAAGGTACGTAGTGTATACAAGACTGTTAAGTATTGACAATGTGATGAAGGTACGTAGTGTATACAAGACCGTTAAGTATTGACAATATAATGGAGGTACGTAGTGTATACAAGACTGTTAAGTATTGACAATGTAATGAAGGTAAGTAGTGTATACAAGACTGTTAAGTATTGACGATGTAATGTAGGTACGTAGTGTATACAAGACTGTTAAGTATTGACAATGTAATGAAGGTACGTAGTGTATACAAGACCGTTAAGTATTGACAATGTAATGAAGGTACGTAATGTATACAAGACCGTTAAGTATTGACAATGTAATGAAGGTACGTAGTGTATACAAGACTGTTAAGTATTGACAATGTAATGAAGGTACGTAGTGTATACAAGACCGTTAAGTATTGACAATGTAATGAAGGTACGTAATGTATACAAGACCGTTAAGTATTGACAATGTAATGAAGGTACGTAGTGTATACAAGACCGTTAAGTATTGACAATGTAATGAAGGTACGTAGTGTATACAAGACTGTTAAGTATTGACAATGTGATGAAGGTACGTAGTGTATACAAGACTGTTAAGTATTGACAATGTAATGAAGGTACGTAGTGTATACAAGACTGTTAAGTATTGACAATGTAATGAAGGTACGTAGTGTATACAAGACTGTTAAGTATTGACAATGTAATAAAGGTATGTGGTGTATACAAGACCGTTAAGTATTGATGATGTAATAAAGGTACGTAGTGTATGCAAGACCGTTAAGTATTGACGATGTAATGTAGGTACATAGTGTATGGAAGACCGTTAAGTAATGATGATGTAATAAAGGTACGTAGTGTATGCAAGACTGTTAAGTATTGACAATGTAATAAAGGTATGTGGTGTATACAAGACCGTTAAGTATTGATGATGTAATAAAGGTACGTAGTGTATGCAAGACCGTTAAGTATTGACGATGTAATAAAGGTACGTAGTGTATGCAAGACTGTTAAGTATTGACAATGTAATAAAGGTATGTGGTGTATACAAGACCGTTAAGTATTGACGATGTAATGTAGGTACATAGTGTATGCAAGACCGTTAAGTATTGACAATATAATGAAGGTACGTGGTGTATACAAGACCGTTAAGTATTGACAATGTAATGAAGGTACGTAGTGTATACAAGTCCGTTAAGTATTGACAATATAATGAAGGTACGTGGTGTATACAAGACCGTTAAGTATTGACGATGTAATGAAGGTACGTAATGTATACAAGACCGTTAAGTATTGACAATGTAATGAAGGTACGTAGTGTATACAAGACCGTTAAGTATTGACAGTGTAATGAAGGTACGTAATGTATACAAGACCGTTAAGTATTGATAATGTAATGAAGGTAGATAGTGTATACAAGACCGTTAAGTATTGACATTGTGATGAAGGTACGTAGTGTATGCAAGACTGTTAAGTTTTGACGATGTAATGAAGGTACGTAGTGCATACAAGACCGTTAAGTATTGACAATGTAATGAAGGTACGTAATGTATACAAGACTGTTAAGTATTGACTGTGTAATGAAGGTACGTAGTGTATGCAAGACCGTTAAGTATTGATGATGTAATAAAGGTACGTAGTGTATACAAGACTGTTAAGTATTGACAATGTAATAAAGGTACGTGGTGTATACAAGACCGTTAAGTATTGATGATGTAATAAAGGTACGTAGTGTATGCAAGACCGTTAAGTATTGACGATGTCGTGAAGGAATGCGTTAAACCATTCCGGTAAACTTGGTATTACGATCCGATAAATATGCAAATGAGGCCACCTTGTCGGAACTACTTCAATAAGCTCCATACATCGATGCGATATCTACTAGCTCAATAAACTGTTGGTTTACTAACGTCTCCAATAAGTTTGATAGTTAAGTTTATGTCAGTTTAAAGGTCACAGGCCCAGGTACAGCACAGATACATGTACATGTATTATATACAAAGTGGTGGTTCAACAACGAGGTTAAAAGTGCAGTTGAAGTACAATTAGAATTACTATAATGAAGATCATTAAGGGAATCTTTTATGTATTTAGCACATGATGACAATGTTTCAATGTTAGAAATTCCTGAGAGAATATTCGTCTTAGATTAGTGTTGGAAAAATATGTGCGTCTTGATATAGCATAAACTGGTCGTGCTAACATAAAATGCAACCCATCTTCTGTAATAGTTTCACAAAAAGGACAAAATCTAAGGTTTCTAGCAACATGGCGTTGTTCACCTTTTTTAATTATTAAATTCTTACTAAAATGTTAAATATCTTCTTTGTTCTCTTCGATGTACATGAAGCAAATATGGTTCAATTGAGAAAGCTGACTTTACAGTAGAATACAAATATAAATTCGTCAGCTCATTTGATGTTGAAAAAAGTGATTGAAATAAATCAATATTTCCGAAACTTTATCATATCATGAATAAAGTAAATTAAAGTAAAAGGAAAAGGAAAAGTGTCATGAAAAATGATAATAGATGTTTCTTACTTCGTTACGTAGCCAGTATGATGTACAATACGACAGCCGTGAAAAAAAGTGTGAAAACGTTAACTTAAATAAATATATATAGACACATAAGAGGCGACTAACGGGATCGGGTGGTCAGGCGTGCTGACTTTGTTGATGCATGTCATTGTGTTCCAGTTGTGTGGATCGATTTACATGATGTCAGTCACTGGATTGACTGGTCCAGACTCGATTATCTACAGACCGCTGTCATATAGCTGGACTATTACTGAGTGCAGTGGTAAACAACAAACAAACAAACAAAACAAATGAAGTCAGAAAACGTGTGACCGGGATATATTTCTTTGCTCGCGGTATAAATAAAGGATTGACGGCCTGACCACTCTCACCGTTACTTACAGCATATTTTTTAATCTAAATTCCACATATTCCTTCTGAGAAATTAATTTTAAAAATAGCATCTTAGTGATCACGGGTCTTTTATGAAATCACCAATGATCATTCCAAAACGTCGCCGATAGCCCTAGAATCGTTTAGAATGTTTTGGAAAATAAGCAAACACGAACACCGAAGTGAACTTTCGGCCATATTGGATAGTGTTTCGCTATTACTTCTTTTTTATGAAGTACAATTTCATCATTTCTTTTGGGTTTTTTGTGCCTATACGTATACAGTTTCGATATCGATTTTTGTGTTGGCATAGTTTGGTTCCTCGTGAACAAAACACCACGAAAATATATTGTCCTTACCCACAGCTAATTCTCACCAAGTGACCTTAGTAACAATAAACTAGTGCCAAGCATAGCGGAGTTATGCTCCCTTTCTTTGAACGCGTGTAACCTCTCTGTCGCCTTTTGGCGTCATTGAGGTAAATCAGTTTTCGTCATTTACGGCAGGATAATTTTTGCATTGAATTTATGTCGTTATACATACGCATATAACACCATTAGATATATTTTAATGTCTTTCAGATATTAGGCAGTATTTGTATTGCTCACAATTTCCGTAAAACTGCTTAATAAAAGAATCGTCGCATAGTACTTTTATCGGTGTACGATAAAAAGCGGAGAAATTTCCTGTTTTTCAACGCAGAATAAATTCTCGGACAACACTTAGCAGTGAATTTTTTCAAACCGGTTTTATATTTACAGTTAGATTTACACCATCAGATAAGAAATTTAATATTCTACAACTCTACGTAATTTTATAGCCGGAGGTAGATCCAGTGCCGCGTGAGCGCATTTCTCGCACAACCTTCACTTTTCCGATCTTAGGAAAATGTGCGTCAGAAAAAAACTCGGCATCCACGCGAGTTAAATCAAAATGAATATGAGGAAATATATTAACAGCACATACTGCATTTAAATGTATGTCAACATTTCGAGACCACCTATCAAATCAAGATGATATGTTGTATTTCAGATTTTCTGATGTCGTGCTTTATAGTTGACTGCTTAGTAAAAGACAGGGATGGTGAAAGGCGAGGCGACGGTTCTATTTACTAAGATCTAAAAATAAAACAGGCTATTTCGGGCGATGTCTTATTTTAGTATAAAACATAAACTATTTCAACAACAACACAGCTGAGATTTCACATATGCCCTGTCAGCCTGAGGCCGTCTTCGTGAGGTGTTAAACTTGTTGATAATACAAACTATCCGCATCGATAAATGTGTGTTTGGTTCAATAAATTATTTACACGCGTACAAAAACTGAGATGTCCATTCACAATGATCGATTTCCCTAAAGGAAGTGACGTCAACCAAGATATTATGGGATAGAATGTTTTCGTTGCACTAGCTTGATGATGAACTTGTTGTGACCTCAATGTAACAATACTCAGATGTCAACGCGATACGAAATTCGTTTTTGTGATACATCTCATAAATTGTGTTTGATTTAACATTCCAAATGATTGTTTATTACCATTGCGTCATTAGAAACGGATCGACACTCAAAAGAAATAAACACAAAAGGCAATTCTAGGAAACTATTTTTCTGTGCGCAGGGTTTTCATTATTTGTGATCAGACTGTGGAAACAGATTTCATGGCTGACAATGTGAACTCAACGATTCTAAGAGATGAAAATGTGGCACCATAGCTCGGCCCAAGGATATTTGTGCTTAAATATTTGTAAATAGAAAACATTGTAGTTTTATTTATAAATCTACCAAGCATTGGAAGAGGAGGGTTTTAATTGTCTGATATTTGATCTAATTTCAAGAAGCTGAATCACTGGAGCCAAAATGTCGAGTGGTATGGTCAGATCTCAAGCCAGGAAAGATACCAAAATGCGTATCAGGGCTTTTCCTGTAAGTATTTATTTCTTATTTATTCTCAGAATGTAACAAGCTTGTTCCAGATGGCAAGGGTAAATCCTTATGAGAACAGGCTTCTTTCTTATCGTCGAAATGCAATGGCGGAAATGACAACTAAAATTCACTTTCAGTCCCCAGTGCAATCACGCATAAAATTGTAAACATTGAACCTAGAAGTCTAAGGAATGAGCATGCATTTCCCTAAATACTACTCGTGATGATGTCAATCATCATTAGCGTTTCACCGAAATGTTCAACCCTCTCCGTCACTTTTTCGACGTCCGTATTTATTTTTACAGGGCAAAACAGTGTGATATAGGCCAAACATAATCTTCATCAGTTTATATTAATGTGACTCAACTTTTGTCATGATGATGTATTAAAAGAGAGTGGCAAATGTACGATTTTATAGTCCTTTTGAAGATTTGTTTACATTAAGCATCCAAAACAGAGGGAGTTGACATTGACCTCATCCTGTTATGTTTACATTCCTTGTTTTTGTATTGATTCTCACGGACAAGTATCAATGAACAAATGATAATGTATCAGTATGAATTTGTAGCCGCACTCACAGACTTTGATAGAATAATAAGGCATTATTGTTTATTGTGTTTATATGGAAAGTTTTATTTTTTATCCAGCAGTAATGAGGGGTGGTGGGGTAGCCTAGTGGTTAAAGCGTTTGCTCGTCACGCTGAAGTCCTGACTTTGATTCCCCACATGGGTACAATGTGTGAAGCCCGTTTCGGGTGTCCCCCGCTGTGATATTGCTAAAAGTGGTGTAATACCATACTCACTCACTCCAGCAGAAATGCAGGACTACCGCAAGTTTGCAATCCTTGTATATAATTTTTTCAACACAGCCAAATCAAATAATCAGAGTTACCAATCATCAGTCGATGATCATGTCTATCTAATGCATACTTTAGTCCTTTATAACTGATTGCTGTCAACTTTTTATGATTGCGATTTAATATAATCTGTCAGATTGAATAAACATATTGTTGACAAATATTTTTGTTTTGATTGTAGATGACCATGGATGAGAAGTATGTGAACAACATATGGGCTCTACTGAAAAATGCCATCCAGGAAATTCAGAAGAAGAATAACAGTGGCTTAAGCTTTGAAGAGCTGTACCGTAATGCCTATACCATGGTTTTACACAAACATGGTGAAAAACTTTATACAGGCTTACGGGAGGTCGTCACTGACCATCTTGTAAACAAGGTAACTAACTACAAGTATTATTCCAAGGATAGTAATGAAACCTTGTGGAGTCAAACTGATGTCATTTCAATCTTAAGGGTTTCTACTGTTATCATGGTTATGTGTTGTGAAATGTTTTGTATGCGAGAATTCTAATGATATGTTTTAAATCCATCTATTATTGATCTGAAGCAGGTAGAATTAAACTTTCATGAAATAAACTTAATATGATTATGTTTACATCTTCAACAATACGTCAGACTTTTGATGAGCATTATGAATGCCAATGACAACTTGTCTAGGTTTTTGGGGGTTTACCCAGGAATTTTATCTCTTTAAGAGAAATTCACCTATGTGGCATATTCTATGTGGCCATTTCGCCAAATATTAGTGAAGTCTTATTTATTTTAACACCTTTATGAATTTCTTTAATTTAGTTTAAAGACAACCAACCGTCACCATTTGTTGATAAATGGGTTATTTAACCGATCATTGTTGTCTGAGCCTAACATTAGTGGTGTAACGATACGTCGATACAGTATTGTATCACAATACAAGGCCTAGGATACAATATATCAACTTCAGTGTTCCTGTTACAGGTTAACACCATTTATTTACTGGTAAGGTTAGCATGGTTAGGCTTTGAATGGTAGTTTATGTGACTGGCAGTCCCTGTGGACTGGCAAATAGAGTACAGTATGAATCATTGTTGTAGAACAAAACATCAGTGATATTCATATAAGTATATTTTTGAACAAAGTTAGCTTTTCTGTTACCATCAGGGTTTCTGTTACCATCCAGGTTTCCCCTTTTCGCTTTTCTTCAAGGTTAAATATATATTTGTAGTGACTTAGTCTCGAAATATTTTAAACACAAATAGAAAATTGTGACTGAACTTGGTGTGAATGACATGTAGACTAGCTAAGTTACTTCAGAGATGATGTCTTTGTATGGAACATGATGTTGATAGAATTAAAACCAGGTATTTTTCATGATTTTGTTTATTGGTGTAAAACATGAATAATAACAAACTGTCCGACAACCAGCTTACACAGATTCTCTAGTATTTCCCTGTTAACTATAAATAGCATAAAATTCACTGCGTCTTCTAGCCAAAATGTTTCTGCCCTACAAAAATCCCATCTTCGATCCCTGATATATAAAAACAAATAATTCAGGGATGTGATTCATCGGCAAAAAGAAAGAATATCAACTTTATGAAATATAAGTACTGTATCAGGATACTGATCTTATCGCAACCCCACCATATCATTACATCTCTACCAAACACCATGCGATATGTTGACATTATCCAACATGATTTGAGAGCATAGAAACTGGGGACACCCTAAGTTTTCCGTGATTAAAAAACCTCCTAGCTCCATATTATCTGTGTATTTACATAAAATATTCAAAATAAATCACAATGCCATTAATATGGGGGTGCTTGCGTCCAAATACACAAGAAAAATCTCAAACCCTGATAGAACACTGCATTGTTACAAGTGTACTCTTTTCAGCTCACATACCCAAATATCTTTACACATCTTTATGTTCTTCCTGAATATAGGTATCACCTATTTATAAACTCTACTGTAGAGAATTATGCACAAAAGTGCTACCTCTCCCTTATTGTACAATGTTGTACAGGGACAAGTATCATTCAGCGGTAGAAACAAACAGGTTTGATCCACTAGTCCTTATAATGATAACATATAGCAAAACCCTTATAAAGGGCAAATTTCTACTAGTCCTTATGATACCTTAACCTTTGAGCAGTTTGGCAAGGACTGTAGGACTAGTGCCAATTTCTAACAGTCATTGTTGTGAGCTGAGTGCGACAGGTGACAAACTTGGTGCAGCATGAGAACAGAACGAAATTAGACGTCACCTGAAACATTTTAAGAAAAATTATTTTGGGGATGTCTACTTAGTGATTTTAAAATACCCTATAGACTAGACGTAAGGGAAAACAAATCCATTGAATAATAAACAAAAGCTATCAGATACCCAATGTGAATGCTAACATTTGACTTAAAATTAATCTGAAGCCCAGAAAACAAGTATGATACAAATTAAGATTGGTTCCAATTATGGTGCACTAACTTGTTGTTATACTTCAAATTACAGTGCATTAACATTTGTAATTCATCAAGTTATAATAAATAAAATGATTGTAAAAAAATACTGTAAATTATAGTACATTAAGATTGTAACGCTTCCAAGTTATATTACATAAACTGATTGTCATACTTCGAATTAGATTCTTTTCCAAATATATTTGTAATGATAGAAGAGTGTCCAGTAACCATTTATCTAACATGATGCTATTTGATGGGGGACGTGAACGGTGAAACTGACCAGCACAATTTAGTAAGTTAGTTGTTTTATGGCATCATCCTGATAGTCAGTTCAAGGCTGCCGGTGGATTGAGAAGACTTAATGTAAGTAAATATAGATCCTCAAAGTTAGGTAGGTGAATTAAACGTTGGGCAACTCAAAAATTCAAGTTTAGACATGTATTTTCTTTCAAGTGTGCCAAAGGTATTCATAACTATGTTTAGATCTGCCCTTATAATTTAAGTATCACAATGAGAACAGTGCTTCTGATCCACCTTCGACCAGGGGGCACGGGTGGCCCAGTCGTCTAAGGCACTGTGATTCACTGTGCAGAGTTGCATTCCTTGGGCACGCCAGAAACCTATGATTGTGGGTTCAAATCCCGGTTCGCCCTGATTATGTTTCTAGGTTTGTCAGCACCATACCCGTGCTCATGGGTTTCGCCAAAGTGGTAAACTTCTGAGACCTGCATCACTTCGGGCTTTCCTCCCACATTAAGCTGACACGCCGCGATATAACCCGACTGTAATACTGTTAAAAGCGGCATTAAACCCAACTCACTCGCTCACCATCATCGAACATCAACAATTTAAGGCTTTCCTTGTTTACCGAAGGCTTTGATGCTTACTTTAAAAATATTACATCAAATACTTCTTAATTTAAGAACAAAAGAAAAAAATCCCAATTTTGAACAAAATAACAATTATTCCCAATTTGGACTAGTAGTTCATGTGACTGCCAGTACCTGTGGACCGGCAAATAAAGTACCTTATAAATCTGTGATATTCATGTAAGTATATTTTCCGAACGAAATCAGCATATCTGTTACCTTCAGGGTTTCCCCTTGTCGATTTTTAGTGCAAGGAAATAACATTTTGCTTTGCTTCAAGGTTAAAAGTAGTGACCTCGTTTTGAAATATTAAAAAAACCAAGAGAAAATTGTGACTGAACCGTGTGTGAATGACGTGTAGATCTAACTAAGTTACTTCAGAGATGACGTCATTGCATTGAACATGATGTTGAAAGAATTATGACCAGGTAGTTTTCATATGTTTTTCTGTTGAAGTTGGGACTGACAAAAATTAGGGGGGACTGGTAGTTTTTAGAGTTGCCAGTCCACCAGGACTGGAAGTTTCAAAAGCCAGCGGGAACACTGCATTTCATACTAAGAAGTCAAATTATCATTGCTCTGTCCTTGTCTCATATGAGATGCTGTCAGAGATTTGGTTGTGTCTTCCTATTTAGATGTGGTTTGAAGGGTACCATGGTTACAGATAAATCACTGTTCAGTTTAATCTCCCAGGATCTTTATGCACAACGTTGAATGTACCTGCAGGTGCGTGAGGATGTCCTTGAGGCTCTAAACAACAACTTCCTGCAGACCCTTAATATTGCGTGGAACGATCATCAAACATCCATGGTGATGATCCGCGATATCCTCATGTACATGGTAAGTACAGTGAACACTCAAATTTATCATTAATAATTTGGGTAGATTATGGTGCCTGGCACGCAGACATTCAACATTTGTCCGAGGATATTGTGATAAATGTTTGTCAAGATACCAGAACCTGCCATTGAAGTAGAAGTGAAATGCGACATGATCCGTCACAATTTCAAGATCCCTTGTCAGGGCTCGATTTAGCTGTATAAAACATGCACAAGTGCAACCTATTATTGAAAAGTGCAACATGATATTTATGTCTACATGCAAAGGTGCATGTAAAAACAAATTCATATTTGTGTCTGACTAATCCTTACTTATCCAGACAAACTCGATCTCTGAACACCCTCAATACCTCTCAAGTCTATTTAACTCACTACATCACGTCTACCTGTGGTATGTGTAATATGCCATGCTTTCTTAGGCTTGACGTCATCAAACTGTGGGTACTTCAAGATTATGTGCATGTTCCTATTACGTTTTACAGCACTGCGTAAATAATCTATGTGACACTGCCCATGTCTCAAATTTTGTGTAACCAGGGTGTAATTTCTATCCCTGACTTGGGTCTTCTTCTGTGGTATTTGAATCTAGGGACCCCTGTGAACTTTGAACATTAGTACATTGACAAGGACACCTTGACTTTCAGGTCACTCAGAGCTCCAGATAACTTTTTGAGCAATTGAGTTTTCACTCTAGGGTTTCTATTTTAATTGAGTTATTACATTTTTCATTGGGTAACCAATATTTTTTCACTTATCTATTCATCACTCTATTTATTTATTTTTCCCAAATTAGTGAACATTTCAAGATTTAAAATAAAATAAAAAAATGTTTTAGATGTATATAGCTGTTTTAAATAAAGGCTTGACTTGGAAAGTAAATAAGCTCATAAGTGTGTTTCAGAAATTAGCACCTTTGTACGCATGCTGAAAAAGCTTCATTTCCTATTTACACATGGTGTGTTTATACATTCGAGTTTTTCATTTAATGCATGCATTTCTGTACGCAAGTTAATTGAAAGTAATTGGGTTTGAATATTTTGAGGGGGTATTTTACGCACACACGCTGCTTATCGGTAGCTCTGTTACTGTTAATGAACATTACTCTGCAACAAAGATTTTATTAATCCAGAAATTTCTTAAATCAGACAATACAATGGTCAGGGTAGAGTCTGGATGAACAGGGTTTCACAGTAGTCATGAATCCATTCCTTTGTAAATCTGTGATTTGACTGAGTGTGTAGTTGCCACATTTGTGTTCCAGGATCGAGTGTATGTTCAGCAGAACAATGTGGACAATGTCTACAACCTTGGACTGATCATATTCAGGGATCAGGTTGTCCGCCATCCGGTCATCCGAGATCATTTGAAGTCAACGTTGCTGGAAATGGTGGCTCGGGAACGGAAGGGGGAGGTTGTAGACAGGTAAACACAGCATATATATATATATTTAAACTTATTGTATCTCACACTATGCATTTCATCCTTCTGTAGTTTGTTATGTGGAGACATGTTTGAACAAAGTTTCCAGCTTCTAAAAACATTTCACCCAAACAAATCCAGGCATCACCATGGTCACCACCCAAACAAAATAGGTCACGCACTTTAACTTTGTAATGTACGTGTCACCTGACTACCCCTGCTTCATCATTCTCTTTCTCATTGCCGCCCTGTGGAGATGTGTAATGAGACTACTTTGGTGTGGGGGGGGGGGGGGGGGGGGGGTGCGTGACATTTTTTGTGAGGAAGGAACTTCTCACAAGTGGAAGATGACATATTGGACAGATTTCTACAGAAAGATGTTCTCTCTGTCAACTGCACACCTGTTACTACTCCAGTATTGCTCAACCTACAACTACAGAAACATGTATAATTTTGGCAAAAGTCCGTACCTCCACTACAAGTGCAATAACTATTGCTACCAACCCTCCCAGCGTTTCCCAAGCCTATCCACATCTGTGATCAGTTCAGAAGCTTAGGGACTCTACTTTTGCTATGTATCTCTCTGTGATCAACTCCCGTCATTGACGCTACAACAAGATCTAAGATCTCCATGGTTGCTGATCTACAGTGCCTCATCATGTCTTACAAGTTGGCTGACCAGTCATCTCGATTCCTGCTGTCCACTTGGGATCTTAAGGTCATCATCTGTCGTCTGACTTCTACAGAGTATGAACCACTTGCTGAGAAGGACTTCGAGTTGATCACCTGAAGACAGTTTTTCTCCTGTCCCTTACAACTGCTGCTAGCATGTTAACAGGGCCCAGTTTGAGAGAGTACACAATGGGAAGGTCTTTCTGGGGCTTTGCTGGGACCTCATCGCAATGAATCATCTTCAATCTGAACCCAGATAACCATGAAAACATCTTGTGCTTGGTTTGAGTCTTCTGCATCTACATCGAGGTTGTCAGCTCTAAGAAAGATGAATCATATGGCAGGGAAAGTCAGATGATCAAGTTGTGAAAGGTCACACGCACAGCAATACAGTGTGTGACCCATTTGTTTAGGTGGTGACCATGGTGATGCTGGGATGAGTTCGGGTGAAACTTTAAGCATTTTTCCACATCAGGATCGAACGTAGAAGGAAGAGATACATAGTGTGAGATAGGATAAGTATATGAATATACAATTTAATGTAAAATTCAGTCAGAAATGGCATGTCTGGTGGGGTGTTTCATCTTAAGATACAACTGTGATTGAATGTGTGCAATGCATTCTTTGACTAAGGCTGTAGCCTTAAACCTATGTCTATTATGCATGTGTTTCAAATTGTGATTGTCCAAAAATAATAATGCACTTAGAATGATGGTGAGAGAGAAACTTTGAAAACCCAGACTGGAAAGGTCTGATCCTCCCTGTTGAAGGAGCAACTGGTGGTTTTGAGGGAAGAAGGGGGCAAGTCTTGCACTGGTGTCCTTATACATCTCACCAGAGGGAAGTTAAAGTGATGTCAGTGCTTGTTGAAAAGTTTGTACAAGTAATGCTCTTTTGAGCGTCATTGCATGTTGGATTCATTCAGATACTGAGGATACCCGTGAAGATACGGGTTAGAATAGGTCTTCAGCAACCCATGCTTGCCGTAAAAGACGACTATGCTTGTCGTAAGAGGCGACTAACAGGGTTGGGTGGTCAGGCTCGCTGACTTGGTTAATGCATGTCCTCAAACCCAATTGCGTGAAGCGATGCTTATGATGTCAATCACTGGATTGTATGGTCCAGTCTCAATTATTTACAAACCACCGTCATATAGCTGGAATTTTGCTGAGTGCGGCGTTTAACAAAAACAAACAGATACTGAGGAGTCATGAGGCCAGCACAAATCACTGTTAGAAATTGGCACTAGCCCTATAATCCTGGGTTAACATGGTTAAGGTATCATAAGTAGGGTTGTCACAATAAATCGAAATATTGATATATTGCTGTTGGTAAGCACTTAAAGTCAATAAATTGATTGTTAAATCGGTTTCCAATCAATAGTATGGATTTCAGTTAGGAATATCGATAGTTTCGATTGTATTCACCATATCAATAAAAATACATGCAATGCTGTTCAAATTTGTTTTTCTTTTGATCATGAGTGGTAGTCATTTACTCATGGTAATGTTGAAATTTCTTTTGATGTTGAAAATTCTTAAATTATTAGGGTAAAGAAAAACAAATCAGTCATATCTCAAACTTTATTTTTTATTTGTTGTTATGGTTAACACATTCAAAGGAAACTTAAGTTCCAAGGTTTGATTCAACTCTGAAATCCATCTAAAATGATGCACCGAAAATGATCGATATTTATCGCAATAGTTGCTTGCAATATCAATAGTTACCGCAATAGTGATTTCCAGACCAATAGTCACCCCTAATCATAAGGACCAGTAGATATTTGCCATTTTTATGGTTTTTGCAATGTGTCATTATTATAATGACTACTCAATTAATATATATTTTCACTAGTCCACAATAATTATCTACAAAGAACCCCTGCTAAGATTTCACATCATGATGATTCCATGTGTTTGTTTTCAGAGGGGCTGTGAAGAACGCTTGTCAGATGTTGATGGTTCTCGGTATCGACTCTCGCAACGTGTATGAGGAAGACTTTGAAAGACCTTTCCTCGAACAGTCAGCCGAGTTCTACAGGGTGAGGATGAGTGTTGCCACTTGCACATACAGCACTCGTGGGTACATTCCTGGTGCTCCATACTTATTGATAGAGGAAGCAACTAGGGCTAACAGTCTCACCTGTAGACACATTGTCTGATCTGTAGGCGTCTAACAAGGCTAAGCACTAAACTCCCATACCTTAACATTGACATAGGTGTCACACTAAGGTACTTTTGTACAACGTCATCCTGATGTGTAGGAGTCTCATCTATAGGCACATAGGAGTCTGATCTGTAGGCATGTAGGAGTGTCATCTGTAGGCACATAGGAGTCGCGTATGTAGCCAACTGTAGGCACATAGAAGTCTCAATTGTAGGCACATAAGATTTTTTTTTGTAGGCATGGAGGAGTGTCATCTGTAGACACGTAGGAGTCTTGTATGTAGCCAACTGTAGGAACATGGAAGTCTCAATTGTAGGCACATAGGAGTGTCATCTGTAGGCACATCGGAGTCTGATCTGTAGGCACTCAGGAGTGTCATTTGTAGGCACATTGGAATCTGATCTGTAGACACATAGGAGTCTGGACCTGTGAAGATCCGGGTTAGAATAGGTCTTCAGCAACCCATGCTTGCCGTAAATGTCGACTAACGGGATCAGGTGGTCAGACTCGCTGACTTGGTTTATGCATGTCATCGTACCCAAATTGGGTGGATCAGTGCTCATGATGTCAATCACTGGATTGTCTGGTCCAGACTCGATTATTTACAGACCGCCGTCATATAGCTGGAATATTGCTGAGTGGGGCGTTAAACAACAAACCAACTTTTGAGTCTGGTCTGTAGGCACATAGGAGTCTTATTTGTAGGCACATAGGGGCCTCATCTATAGGCATATAGGAGTCTCTTCTGTTGGCACACAGGCGACCACTTGGAAAGACCTTATTTTGACCTGTCGGAGATAAATGTGGATTGGTATCTCATTTTCAGCTTGAGCCTTCAATAACTTAGCTCTGTTGCATGCCTGTAAGTTCAGCACATTCAGTTGTCTTTCTTCTATACTACTCATCATGGACAGTTATTTTTCAATTTGGTGTCCAGTATTTCTACCCACCCCCCAACAGGACACAAAGGATCAAAGAAAATTATGTCCACTTTGTTCCTATGCTTTGTTCTATGAGATTTGTGAAGATACACATGTTGTTGAAATTAAATTGCTATTTTATTTAATTGTATTTAATTGCCATGGTTACAGCTGGAGAGTCAGAAGTTCCTGGCAGAGAACAGTGCATCTGTGTACATTAAGAAAGTGGAGGCCCGCATCAACGAGGAAGCAGAAAGGGCCACACACTATCTAGACAAGTCCACAGAGGAACCGATAGTCAAGGTATTACTATCATTTGTGTTGAGGGTCTTGCAGCAGTGACCTATCTGTCGGGCTGCTTGAAATTTTCCTCCACCTGCCCGACTATCTGGCAGATAATTCTAAGACTACTTATGTATTCAGTTTTATTGTAACTATGTATTTGTGTTTTTTTCAATATTCAGAATATCTGAATGCGGGCAGGTAACTTTGAAGATGGACATGCAACACTTTTGGGTCGTCTCCACGACCGTCTTGTGTTTTAAAATTATTTCAAACACTATCTTGTAGACAGTCTATTCATTGTAGGAAGTTGTTCTTTGAAAAGCACAGATTATATGCGACTCTTGTGTGAAGGATATTGTCACAAGACAAGAAGCCTATTTATGACATTAAGGTTGGGGACCTTTATTTTCCTTGCAGGTTTTAGAAGAGGAACTAATTAGCAAGCACATGAAAACAATTGTAGAGGTAAGATCAGTTGATATTTGAATGATTTTTGTATTTGTAATACTAATATTGCTTTTACTGATGATGTTAAATTACATTAAGTAATACGTTACCACTGTTATACCGAGGCTGTTGTCTCCCACAACTGCTGCTATAGCGAAATCTACCACAGAGATCTCAATTACCTCATGCAGCACGTGCGTAGCCACCTAGCTGCCATGTGACACCCTTCACTCTTGTCTCCTTCGTCTGCTTAGCAAGACGTGTTTTCTCCTGCTGAAGCGTTCCTTGAAGATTTGGTGATATTTATTATAGTTTATTCTCTAATAAACTGTGCTTTTATGGGTCGTTGCGGTAGCTACGCTTGGTTATAATTTTCCCGCCAAACGGAAAAATTTTCCCGCCCTTTTTTCTATATACTTGCGGGGTTCGCGTATGCACGTTGTGTTTTACGTTTCCCCTGTTCTTGTATGTTTTGGGGGTTAACATTACTTATTTCTTTAATAAAAGTTATATGTGTATGTTATATGTTCACATTGCTCGTTTATTTTCTTGTGAAAATGTTCGTTTGTGAATCATTGTGGTGCGTGCGTTGTAACCATGTTTTGTTCTTTGTTTATAGCAAACAATCAATGTCTGACATGGATATGTCCCCAGTATCCACCCCTTCTACCCCTGCTCCTCGGAGTTGTGGGGTGTGCAGAAAGTTTTTGTCGTCCCGGGATCCCCACGATCATTGCCCGCGGTGCAGGGTTCCTTGCGGGGACACCCGGTGCATCCTGTGGGACGGTCTGGGGCCTGCGGAGTTTGAGCGGTACCGGCTGTACGTACAGTCCGTCTCCACCCCTGTGGTGGCCGGTTCGTCCGGTCGGGGTCCCCGTGCGTGTACCACCTCCTCGGCTGCGGCGGATCCCCTTGCGGCCCTCGGGCTGTCTGGGGATTCCGTGGCCGCATTGTTGTCGAAACTTGTGGACTCCAAGCTGGCGGCCTTATCGCAAGATAGGCCGCTGGCTGTTCCGTCCCCGGCCTCTTCGGTGGCCGCGGGGTCCACCGGTAAAGCGGCGGATCTCTTGGCGGCCCGTGTGCTGTCCGGGGATTCCGTCGCTGCATTACTTGCATAACTTGTGGACTCCAAGCTGGCGGCTTTATCTCAGGATAGGCCGCTGGCTGTTCCGTCCCCGGCCACTTCGGTGGCCGCGGGGTCGGACGCGGGGTCCACCGGTACGGCGGCGGCTCCCGCGGTCACCGGTCCTTCCCCCGAACCGCTGCTCCCGCTATCGGTTTAGGACCGCGTGGCCATGGTTTATGACCTCTTTGAGGACATGCCCCGGCCGGTACCGCGGGGAATCCACGACTGTGGGTTCCTCCGAGGTATACGATGAGTCTTCCGACACGGCTTTCCCCGCATCGACCTTGCTGCGCGGTTTCAAGCCTTCCTTGGAGAACGCCTTCGCGGCGGCCTCCGGTCGGGGTCTCCCGTTGCCTCCGACGTCGTGGAGAAAGGGTTTATTCCCGGTACATGACCTTGCCTTTCCCGAGGCTGGTCCTACCGCGGAGGCCCATGTTGAGCGGTTGGGTGTCCGTGCCCCACCGGCTGCTACGGTAACGCAAGCTACCTTGCACCAGCTGGACGCCCTCGCTCGGCACTCCATGTCTCACGGAGACACTTACTTGGCTGCAGCGGCCCGTCTGGTCGAAGGTTCTCCCACGGACCGTGACCAGCGCATTTACAACTGCCTGCTCAGTTTAAATGCTTCCCTGGAGTACGTTGCCGAGGACTCTCGGCACACACTTGCTCTTGTTGGGTCCCTGCATAGGCGCCTGGGTGCCGCTCCTAACCAGAGCGCTCCCAGGCTGCTGCGGCCTGTAGGTCTAAGGGGTCGGGTTCTTCTTCTTCCTCTGGGAAGTAGCCCCGCCCTGAGGGCTCCGGTATGGGCAATCAGCTGCCCTTTCGCGGGAAGACGGGGAACTGGGGGAAGCCCAAGTCGTCGACGGACGGCAAGGGCCCCTCCAGGTGACTCTCATTGGAGGGGTTCGTATGCCGACAGCGCCAACTTCGGTTGGCCCTTAGGTGAACCCGAGTCACTTGGCCCTGGACAGTTGCGCCTGCCGCAACCTGTCAGGGCCCCCTCTCCTTCCCCAGTGGGAGCCAGACTCCAGACTTACTGGGAGAATTGGGAACAAGTGTTCGACGACCCGTGGGTGGTCAACACGATTCGGTACGGCTATCGGCTTGATCTCAAAGCGAATCCGCCGCTCACCGTTGCCCCGTTGGCAGGTTTCGATTCGGAAACCGATCTTCCCATCCTCGCCGATGCCATCGGCAGGTTGGTGGAGAAGGGGCAGTACGGGAGTTAGCTCTACCAGAAATAACACCGGGGTTTTACTCCAGGATATTTCTCGTTCCCAAGTAGGACAGTGCCGAACTCAGAATGATTCACACGTCCGCTCCCTGGCTGTTCACCCGGTTAACCACCCCCATAGTGGGGTTCCTCCACAGGAGGGATGTCCGGTACTTCGCGTACCTGGACGACTCGCTAGTAGCAAATCGAATGACGGACACCCTGTCACGCCATCTCGATTTCGCACGTCGGCTCTTGGAGCAATTTGGGTGGATTATCAATCTCCCCAAGAGCGAGTTAACCCCTTCTCAGAACTTGCTGGTCATCGGAGGTCGGTTCAACACGGTGTCCCATCGCCTCTTTGTCCCCCCAGACCGGTGGCACAAAATTCAGGCGATGATTGCCAAAGTCTTAGCGGTGCAACAGACTGTTCACTTTTGGGAACAGCTGTTAGGGCTACTTGTATCAGCCCAGGACTGCACCGCACGGGGTCGTCTCCAACTCCGCCCGCTGCAACGGTTTTTAATCCAGTTGTTAGCAACGGAGGTGAACAGTGCGACCGTCGCCCTCCCGGATCAGCTCCGACCGCATCTGGAGTGGTCGACTGTCCCTTACATTGTCTTATCAGGAGTCTCTATGCGGCCCTACCGGGCCACGTTGACCCTGTATACAGACGCCTCTCTAGTGGGCTGGGGCGCCCATCTAAAGGGGGAGGTGAGCTCGGGGCTGTGGTGCGTAGACGAACTAGGTCTTCACATCACTTGTCTCGAGTTCAAAGCAGTGATCAACGCAGTCAATCACTGGAAGCATCGTCTCGTCGATGCCCGGCTCATGCTGGCGACCGACAACCCGACGGTAGTGTCCTATGTGAACAAACTGGGGGGAACCCACAGTCACTCGCTACTCGATCTCACGTTCAAGTTTTACGCTCTGGTGGACAGTGTCCCGTGCCAGATACGCGCCCGTCACATCCCAGGTGTGCGGAACGTACTGGCCGATGCTCTATCGAGGCCTCAGGATCCGAGCCCCACAGAGTGGATGCTGAACCCAGTAGTGTTTCAGTGGCTGTGCGAACGTTTGGGTCGTCCGATGGTCGACCTGTTCGCAACGCGGTTCAACAATCAACTCCCGTTGTTTGTATCACCAGTCCCGGACCCGAGGGCCATCGATCACGATGCTCTCGCGTTAGACTGGACAGGCTTGGACGCTTATGCTTACCCTCCGACAGCGTTGATACCACACATTCTAAGCCAGCTCCGAGGAGTTCGCTGTTGAATGTTACTGATCGCGCCCATGTGGCCGAACAGATCGTGGTACCCCGACTTGCTGACCCAGGTCACACAGTCGCCACTTCCACTGCCTGTGAGACCGGATCTCTTGATCCACCCTCACACCCGTCAGCTTCATCCAAACGCAGGGCAGTTCAATCTGCACGTGTGGATGTTGTCACCGAGCGTCTGAGGAGTAAAGGTTTTTCTCGCCGGGCGTCTCGGGCATACGTTAGTATGCATCGTGATTCTACCCAGAAGGTGTATAATGCACGTTGGGTTATTTTCACGAAGTGGTGTTGTAAACATCACATTCATTCGCCAGATAAGGTATCTGTGCAGGATATTGCTCGTTTCATGTCTCACTTGCGAGAGACCCGGAAACTCTCCGGGGGTTCCATTGCCAACTATGTCTCGTCCTTTGCTACGGGACGTTGCTATGGGTACCAGTCTCTCCAAAGAGCCGGTGATCCCGGGTATTATCAAGGGTTTCAAACAGCACAATCTTAAGAAGGGCCGCCTTCGGGCACCGGCCTGGGATCTTTCCCTAGTGTTGAAATCACTTACGGAAGCTCCGTATGAACCCTTGCATAGTGCTTCGTTCCGGCATGTGACTTGGAAAACAGCATTTCTCCTCTCCTTTGCCACGGCGGCACGTGTATCCGAAATTCATGCACTCGATGTCGCCAAGGTACGATTCGATAGGGATGACGAAGGAGCGGTCCGCCTGGGCCTGCTCATGGGCTTCGTCGCCAAGAATCAGAGAGTCGGGCAAACGGAGAGAGAATTCACTGTAAGATCACTCAAAGAAATCTTACATCCTGCTGATACTGAGGACAGAGCGCTGTGTCCGGTTAGGGCCCTTAAGTATTATCTTAAGGCTTCGAATGAACGTAGACAAGGGCGTGACTGTCTGTTCATATCGTGTAACCCTAATCGCACGGTTGACATAACTCGCAACTCGATTGCGTTGTGGCTTCGTTCTGTCATCAATCTGGCGTACCGGTCTCGGGGGTTACTGGTAGTGGGGTCAAACCCGCACGAGATCAGGGCGCTAGCGGCAACATTTGCCCTACACTCGAATATCTCTGTTCGCAGAATATTACGAGGTTGTTACTGGCGTTCTGACTCGGTTTTTGCCAATCATTACCTCAAACAGGTCGCTGATGCCGTCGTGGAGAGTGTGCACCGTCTTGGCCCGCGGATCGCGGCGCAAGCGGGCACCTAAGGGGTGTGCCCAGCGCAATTCCGAACTCCTCAGGCGTCTGACCTTTCACGGTGGTCAATCTGGGTCGACTCCAATGTTCCCACTGCCGTGGGTACAGGAGTTGGGGTCCCGCAAACCAGCGCACTCACACCACAGGTGAGGGCGGCTTTTTGTGTGCTTTGTCCTTATTTGTATTTTGACAATTATGTCTTTAATTGTCTGTCGTGTATCCCAACCTTGTGATGCATGCTTACAAATACTGGAATTAGGTCACGCGCCTAATGCATACTTTAAGTAGGCTTGCTCTGGGATATACGGTCTGAATGAAATTAATTTCCCTCTTTTCGACTGTTTAACCTGATCTAAGATTAAGCTCACGCGGATACAGTGTTCTCATCCGCTGCGGCGATGAAATACCTATCCAGTGGGGCCGTTTGGAGTCACCAATCGTTTTGGCAATGACGATTGAGCCTTACGGTATGCGCTTGACAGTGCTTTGGTATTCCTATAGGGTAACGCCTAGCTAGGTGCATGCGCATCGAGTGCTTCCGCCTTGGTGTTTACTTCCGCTGGTCGGAAGGAACGCTGGCAGTCAGGATTCGGGTTGTAGGTGCTCCCCACCGCCTACTGTGGTAGTCAGCCTCGGTATAACAGTGGTAACGTATTACTTAATGTAATTTGTAGAATTTTCCTATTCGGAATATTCTATAAGTAATACGTTACCACTGGGCTGCTGCCCGCCCGTCCGTCCCCCGAGCACTTGCTCTCACAGGAGACAAGAGTGAAGGGTGTCACATGGCAGCTAGGTGGCTACGCACGTGCTGCATGAGGTAATTGAGATCTCTGTGGTAGATTTCGCTATAGCAGCAGTTGTGGGAGACAACAGCCTCGGTATAACAGTGGTAACGTATTACTTATAGAATATTCCGAATAGGAAAATTCTACAAGTTTCATTAGTAGATCTCTGCTGATCATTAGCTGCAAGGTTGTCTGGTGGTGCTTTGTTTGTGCTTTGCTGAGTTTAGCCCACCTTGTTTCATAAAATCTAAAACGTGAATAAATTATAGTTGGGAATTTAACTAATTTCATGAATGAAATATGAATGTAGTTGCAGTGTTATTCTCAAGTCCTCAAACTGGCTATTATTCTGACATTTCATTTTCAGATGGAAAACTCTGGTGTTGTACATATGCTAGAGAATAACAAAACTGATGGTGAGTGCACAACCCGGTGAAGTCAATTCTGCAAGGATTTGGCCAGCATTTGGGGATGGAAATGTTATTCTGTTTTAAAAAATCCCAAGTTCTAATTTTCCTTTATTCAGGGGCATATTTAACATTGTATTTTGAGATTGTATTCGATGCAATGATATAAGACTTACCATTAAGACCTCTTCTAACTTCTAGGTCCTGAAATACATGTTATCTTTACAGAAACATAAAATTAGTTAATAGTTATACATGTGAACATGAATTGGGAAATATTAAGGTCCTGTTGTTTGAATTTTTGATATTTTCGGCAGACTTTGGGCTGAATATCAGCTTCTTGGCATGTCCAGATAATGCTTCTTGTTACTGACCTCAGGGGCGAAATAGATTTCCTGTAAGCTATCAGTCATAGCTAGGGGGCGTGTGGGGAACACGGGTAGCAGTAGGTCCCCAGCAACCTATGCTGGCGGCAGGGGGTGACTTAATGGATAGGAGGGTCAGGTCCGGTGACTTAGTTGTCATGTCATTGCACCCTGATGTGGATCGTTGCTCATAAGATCAATCATTGGTCAACCATTTGGCTCTGGTTTCACTGATAGTGTTATCATACACCAATATGAGGTGAGCTGTGATATTGTTGCAGTTGTGATATTGTTGCTCACAGAGAATGTGAGAAAGAAATGATATTAGAATATAATGGAATATTTGTCGTGTCCTTTTGAAAGAGAATTCCAATTATGATCTTCTAGACTTTAAAGCTGTAAGTGGAGGTTTACAGGCTGCTGTCCTCTAGCTGGAATATTGCTGACTGCAGGGATGGAAATTAACCAAGAATGCCAACAAGGCCATAACATATAGCAATACCTCCAAATATGTTTGAAATTCCACTAGCCCTAATGATGCCTTTAACATTAAGACATTAATAAAACTGGCTAGTGCTAATTTCCGTCCCTAGACTGTCACATAAAATGACAAAAGACAAAAGTGAAGATATGTTTAAAGAAGGCTGATCAGCTTGTTGAGACTGGGTTTTATCTTCTTTTATTGTGTGATTTCAGACCTAGCATGCATGTACAAGTTGTTTATACGGGTACAAAAGGGGTTGAAGACTATGTGTGAATGTATCAGCAAGTACCTTCGAGAGCAAGGTCGCGCCCTGGTGGTAGAGGAGGGTGAAGAGGGGAAAAATGCCATTACATACATACAGGTGAGTGGAGAATGTCATTACATACAGGTGGGTGGAGAATGTCATTACATACAGGTGGGTGGAGAATGTCATTACCTACATGTGGGTAGAGAATGTCATTACATACTGGTGGGTGGAGAATGTCTTTACATACATGTGGGTGGAGAATGTCATTACATACATGTGGGTGGAGAATGTCATTACATACAGGTGGGTGAAGAATGTCATTACATACAGGTGGGTGGAGAATGTCATTACTTATATACAGGTGGGTTGAGGATGTCATTACTTACATACAGGTGGGTGGAGAATGTCATTACATACAGGTGAGTGGAGAATGTCATTACATACATGTGGGTGGAGAATGTCATTACTTACTGGTGGGTGGAGAATGTCATTACATACAGGTGAGTGGAGAATGTCTTTACATACATGTGGGTGGAGAATGTCATTACATACATGTGGGTGGAGAATGTCATTACTTACATATGGGTGGAGAATGTCATTACATACAGGTGGGTGGAGAATGTCATTACATACAGGTGGGTGGAGAATGTCATTACTTACATACAGGTGGGTTGAGGATGTCATTACTTACATACAGGTGGGTGGAGAATGTCATTACATACAGGTGAGTGGAGAATGTCATTACATACAGGTGGGTGGAGAATGTCAGTACATACTGGTGGGTGGAGAATGTCAGTACATACTGGTGGGTGGAGAATGTTATTACATACAGGTGAGTGGAGAATGTCATTACATACAGGTGGGTGGAGAATGTCATTACATACAGACAGGTGGGTGGAGAATGTCAGTACATACTGGTGGGTGGAGAATGTTATTACATACAGGTGGGTGGAGAATGTTATTACATATAGGTGGGTGGAGAATGTCATTACCTACAGGTGGGTGAAGAATGTCATTACCTACAGGTGGGTGAAGAATGTCATTACATACAGGTGGGTGGAGAATGTCATTACATACATATAGGTTGGTGGAGAATGTCATTACCTACAGGTGGGTGGAGAATGTCATTACCTACAAGTGAGTGGAGAATGTCATTACCTACAGGTGGGTAGAGAATGTCATTACAAACAGGTGGGTGGAGAATGTCATTACATACAGGTGGGTGGAGAATGTCATTACCTACATGTGGGTGGAGAATGTCATTACCTACAAGTGAGTGGAGAATGTCATTACCTACAGGTGGGTAGAGAATGTCATTACAAACAGGTGGGTGGAGAATGTCATTACCTACAGGTGTTTGGAGAAAGTCATTACATACATGTTGGTGGAGAATGTCATTACATACTTACAATGCTGGTCATTAGAGCCAACCAAGTTGATCAGGTGGTCAGGCTTGTTGACATGGGTGCTACTCCACAAGGGGATCGAGGTGCTACGATGTTGGTAATTCAATGGATGAGAGTTATGATAACCTTATTGCTAAGATTATGGCTTTGTGGAATGGGCCCTATGTTGAAAGCGTGTCATCATACCCACACAACAGTGCTCACAATATCAATCACTTGACTGCCTGGTCCAGAGTTGATAATTTACAGGCCTTGGTCATTAAGCTGGAATATTGCTGAGTGCAGCCTTAAACATACATTACATACTTTCAGATAGGAGGAACATAAATACAGAATGCTATTCCTTCTGTCACAGAGTTTATTGGATCTGAAGGATCGGTTTGATCACTTCCTTCATGAGTCCTTCAGTGACGATAAGCAGTTCAAGCAGATGATATCCAGTGACTTCGAGTACTTCATCAACCTCAACTCCAAGTCCCCTGAGTACCTGTCACTCTTCATCGATGACAAGCTCAAGAAGGGTGTGAAGGGGGTAAGATTCACAGCATGTCATGAAATAGCTCACTGTGGTGGGAGGTTTAATTCACACAATTGTTTGCTCTGTTGTGCACATTATGTTTGTTATGTAAGATGTAATATTTAAAAAAAATTCTTTTCACACAGATTAGGAATAATATTATGACTAGTACAAATATTTCAAACAATTTGAATATTGCTGTTGTGGCCAAGTTTGTTAAGCATGCAAGAGAAAAGGGGTAAGAATATTCATACAGAACACTTTCAAGCCCCAATCGACCCCATGAAGACTTAGGGTAGAATAGGCCTTCAGCAACCCATGCTTGCCGTTAAATGCAACTGTGCTATTCGTAAGAAGCGACTATTGGGATCGGGTGGTCAGACTTGGTTGATGCATATCATCATATCCCAATTGCGTGGATTGATGCTCATGTCAATCACTGGATTGTCTGGTTCAGATTCCATTATTTACAGACCGCTGTCATATAGCTGGGATATTGTTGAGTGCGGTAATTTTCTGTGCAGAGTTGTGTCCCTTTGGCATGACTGAAACCAGTGATATGTTATTCTAAATTCACCCTGATAATGTTTCAAGGTTTGTCAGCACCATTCCCTTGCTTCAAGTTGTCACCAGTGGTCCAATTGACAGAGTAGAGTTGTGCCCCTTTGGCATGTAAGGAGTGCCAGAACCTATGATTCAAATGCTTTGGCTGCTGAAGTCTTATGTTCTTTGATATGGGTATCTACTGGGCAGGAAATTTCACCAATGTACGTGTCACCACTGTCACAATTAATGAAGATTCCGGGGTAGAATAGATCTTCAGCAACCCATGCTTGCCGTAAAGGGTGACTATGCTTGTCGTAAAAGGCGACTAACGGGATCGGGTGGTCAGACTGGCTGACTTGGTTGATGCATGTCATCGATCTCAATTGCGTGGATCGATGCTCATGATATTAATCACTGGATTGTCTGGTCCAGACTCGATTATTTACAGACCGCCGTCATAAAGCTGGAATATTGCTGAGTGCGGCGTTAAACAACAAACCAACCAATCACAGTTAATCTTATAGATTACTCTTTTTTTCTTTTCCTTTTTGTGTGTGTGTGCGCGCGCGCGTGCGTGTGTGTGTCTGTGTTTTGCGGCCCTTAGGCTGCTTCTAGTGGATTGGGAGCCATTGAAGATGGTATTGATGCCTGCTAGGTACTTAAGTAATCTGCGGATTTGATGAGAGACTTTTCCAATGTGGGTTAGGGTGATTGTGATGGTGGCAGATTCTGGTCTGGTCGGTTCAGGTTTGGGGCTTCATCCAATTATCTGTATGTTATCTACTTCCTGTTGTTGTCAATGTTATTCTGCTGCTTATCACATGTCATGCATATATATACCTCTCATCACTTGGTTGTTGTCACTCCAGCTTGAAAACGGTGTAAGAATCTACATGGAAATGTAGCTATATGTTGTAAACCAGAAGTTGTTATCCATATGTTGTACGTTTTCTGACTTACTCACTTCTAGAATGCCAGTTAAATTCTTGTTGCTATTTCACTTGTTCTGTGTATGCAGATGACAGAGCAGGAGATTGAGAATGTCCTGGACAAGAGCATGGTGCTGTTCCGTTACCTCCAGGAGAAGGATGTGTTTGAACGATACTACAAGCAGCATCTGGCACGGCGGCTGCTCCTTAACAAGAGTGTGTCCGACGACTCCGAGAAAAACATGATCTCCAAGCTCAAGGTATGCAGTACTGAGGATGCCCACATGCTTGTTGCAACAGCCTTAGCAATGTCACTTGTCCTAAGAGTGTGTAGCTAGTGCTGCTTGAACGATACAAAAATGGAGTTTATGTACTTCCTATCACATTTATGCAAGCCTTGAGATCCGGTTCAGAATTAGAGCCCTCAAATAGACTCACTGAAGACTACCATCAATGGATTAGTACTTGTCCTCAATTAAGTGGTCTCAGGATACCAGACGAGTGTAAATTTCGAAGGCAGTTGCATCAACCATGATCATCCTGCTTACTTCAGATGTATGATGTTGAAATATATTCAGTCATCTTTCAAATACATTCCATTTATGCAGCGAAGAATTTGTTCTACCTTATATCCTAATTGTGCATTGTCTGTGATCAGCCTTTCCACTAAGATACATGCAATGATCAACTTTCTGTGGAGGTCTACCAAGGTTAGCAGCGTTAGAAACTGGCACAAGTCCTGAAGTCCTTGCCCAATAGTTAAGCTATCATAAGGAGCTGTGGAAATTCGCCATGTTATGCTGTCATTAAAAGGACTTGTGGACTTAAATGTTACTGCAGCGGTAGAAACCAACATTTTTTACTTCTTGATAGGCATTTAGAAGTTGTTTATATTACTGGCTTCATTCTTTGTTTATGTCACTGACTTCACCGATGATTGTCGTTACTACCCTTGTGTGTACATAACAGGCTTCTCCACGCCAGTGTAACTACATCTGATATCTACTCTACTGTATAAACATTGCCTCCTACCTGTATATACAGTGATCGCTCGCTATTGCGCTATTCGATAAAGCGCTCGCTCGGTTACTACGCGCGGTAACGCATGGCTCCCAAAATTTATGTACACTTTTATTACTGAGAGTTTTACACATACATAATTGTATTGTTGTTCGTTGTTCATTTGCACATAACGCTTCTCATTGCATAATCAACCGTTTATCGCTGAATGGAGTTCTAATAATCTGTTTGAAAACATCCGCGGCAAGTCCCGGAAATACGATTGTTCAACTAGTTAACTTTTCACACTATACATCCTTTGATCTTAGAAGCGCATGCATGCAATAAAAGAGAACCACAAGCGAAGTTTATATTCTTAATTAGTGGGCAATCCAATTTAAGGCTAAACTGTCACACACATGTAGTTGCTGTCATAACACGGCGGTCATTCATTTCGTAATCACGCTTTCGTAACATCGCCTGTTTTTTTCCCGTAGTTATAACAAGCGATTTCATTGGATTAAAATTTGTTTCTAATGACGCTTTCTTGCCGAAATCTGCTACAAGTTTCGTGATTTGTCAATTTTGAGCACGTGACCTCAGGCAGCCAATCAAATTACAGCTGTGATACCAAGCTCGTGTTTGATAAATTTCAGAAGTTAGCGAAAGATTTTTTGTTAAATCGTGTTATTCTGAATGTTTTAAGCAGGAAATCACGATATATTAAAAATATGGAACTTCGCGAATGTATCGTGCTAGGTTACGAGCTGTGACAAAGATTTTTCATGCATATATTTTTGCATTAAACGTTGTGTCCGAGCCGAGAATTCAAGGCGACGAAAGCCGAGATGTCATTTAACTTACATTACACGCGATCGCACGAAACGATGGAAATAATAACTTAGATGTAAGTTTGATTACTTTTAGATATATTTTTGTTGATTTTATTTATCACTTTGTATAATATATTTAAAGATTTGCTTAAAATAGTCTTTATTTTGCTCTTTGACATGTTCGATGCGGACCCGTTGTCGAAATGTGTGTCCGAGAATTTTATTTTCAATAACATCGCGGGAAATAGTGAATAATTTTTTAATTTATTGATAAAAAATGATAAATTAGAATGGAATTCGTATTTCAGACATTGTGAAATGTGACAGATTTAATAAATGAATTATATTACAGGTAGATCTAGGTCCATAAAAATATATACTATTTTGACGTGACGTGAGATGAACACGTATTGATGATTCGTGCTCCCCCGCCTCGGCCTCGGTTAAACGGCTCATCGTCTATAACGCCCACCAATTATTTGGACCCCATTGGTAGCGTTGTAGCGATGGACCACTGTATACTTGTCAGCCATACTCTGTATATCACTTGCTTGATAACTGTGTTAAAACATACACCGAAACATCACTCTTAATTGTAATAAAGAAGTTGTTCATCCATAAATTCTTATCCTTACTTACCATTTTTGGTCCACTAGTCCTTATAATGATAATATATAGTAAAACCTTAAAATTGGCAAATTTCTACTGGTCCTTATGATACCTTAACTATTGGGCAGTTTGGCAAGGACTTTTGCAAGGACTTTTGGACTAGTGCCAGTTTCTAACCCTGATGTTAGTTGGTTAATGCAGCTTGTAATGTGCATAGCAAGCTTAGTTTCCATCTTCTCTAAAAGTGCCTGAACAGTTTTTAAAGCACAAGTTGAAATTTGCCATTTTTAATTGTTTTATATGTTATAAGAACTAGTAGACTAAAACATGTTAGTTTCTATTGCTGAAAAGGCCGTTACTATTGTATAAAGCTTTTTTATTAACAATGTGTACATTTGAATACATGATGCCATTTAGATGTGTACGTTTGACTAAGCTGGTATCTTCCTTTCTGCAGACGGAGTGTGGGTGTCAGTTTACATCCAAGCTTGAAGGGATGTTCAAGGATATGACGGTGTCCAACACCATCAACGAGGAGTTCAAGGGTTTCGTCACACAGGCACAGGTGAGACATCTTGTGTAGGGACAGTCATTGTTGGTCAAAGTAGGCATTAACCTTGTGGGGATTTCAGTTATTATAACTCCTCAGGAACCTATGCTGCTTGTATGAGGTGACCAAATGGATCAGGTGGGCGTGTTTGAAGTGACCAAATGGATCAGGTGGGCATGTATGAGGTGACCAAATGGATCAGGGGGGCGTGTATGAGGTGACCAAAAGGATCAGGTGGGCATGTATGAGGTGACCAAATAGATCAGGAGGGCATGTAAGAGGTGACCAAAAGGATCAGGTGGGCATGTATGAGGTGACCAAATAGATCAGGTGGGCGTGTATGAGGTGACCAAATGGATCAGGGGGGCGTGTATAAGGTGACCAAATGGATCAGGAGGGCATGTAAGAGGTTAAAAAATGGATCAGGTGGGCATGTATGAGGTGACCAAATGGATCAGGTGGGCGTGTTTGAAGTGACCAAATGGATCAGGTGGGCATGTATGAGGTGACCAAATGGATCAGGTGGGCGTGTATAAGGTGACCAAATGGATCAGGTGGGCTTGTAAGAGGTGACCAAATGGATCAGGTGGGCGTGTATGAGGTGACCAAATGATCAGGTGGGCATGTATGAGGTGACCAAATGGATCAGGTGGGCATGTAAGAGGTGACCAAATGGATCAGGGGGGCATGTATGAGGTGACCAAATGATCAGGTGGGCATGTATGAGATGACCAAATGGATCAGGTGGGCATGTAAGAGGTGACCAAATGGATCAGGTGGGCGTGTATGAGGTGACCAAATGGATCAAGTGGACAGGTTTGATGACTTTAAGTCCTGATTATTCTGTGGAGTTCGATGCTATGTGACATATGCTATTTTAACTCTTTAGATTTGTTGTTTTGCTGAAAAGTCATGGTGTATTCATGAGTATGAATTACAGAGTGAAGTCAGAACCAGCTTGTTACTGACTATACAATGATGAATCTCAGTTAATATTAGTATGTAAGTGACCTGCGAAGATCCGGGGTAGACTAGGTTTTCAGCAACCAATACTTACCGTAAAAGAAGACTATGCTTGCTGTGCTCGCCGACTTGGTTGATGCATGATATTCTATCCCACTTGCGTAGATCGATGCTCATGATGTCAATCACTGGAGTGTCTGGTAGACACTCGATTATTTACAGACCGCTGGAATATTGCTGGGCTTTAAACAATAAACAAACAAACTAGTATGTTGTTGCTTCGTCTCCAGGTGAACTTGTGCGGAGTGGACCTGACTGTGCGAGTGTTGACAGCTGGCTTCTGGCCCACACAGTCTGCCACGCCCAGCTGCAACATCCCCCACGCACCACGGACAGCATTCGAGGCATTCAGGAGGTAAGCACACGCCCAGCTTCCTGCACTCAGTGTGTCTTGGGAGCATCCGTTATCAACTGACATACATATCATGGCTTCCTTCACTCAGTGTGTCTTTGGAGCATCCGTTATCAACTGACATACATATCACAGCTTCCTGCACTCAGTGTGTCTTGGGAGCATCCGTTATCAACTGACATACATATCACAGCTTCCTGCACTCAGTGTGTCTTGGGAGCATCCGTTATCAACTGACATACATATCACAGCTTCCTGCACTCAGTGTGTCTTTGGAGCATCCGTTATCAACTGACATACATATCACAGCTTCCTGCACTCAGTGTGTCTTTGGAGCATCCGTTATCAACTGACATACATATCATGGCTTCCTTCACTCAGTGTGTCTTGGGAGCATCCGTTATCAACTGACATAATATCACGGCTTCCTTCACTCAGTGTGTCTTTGGAGCATCCGTTATCAACTGACATACATATCATGGCTTCCTTCACTCAGTGTGTCTTTGGAGCATCCGTTATCAACTGACATACATATCACAGCTTCCTGCACTCAGTGTGTCTTTGGAGCATCCGTTATCAACTGACATACATATCATGGCTTCCTTCACTCAGTGTGTCTTTGGAGCATCCGTTATCAACTGACATACATATCACAGCTTCCTTCACTCAGTGTGTCTTTGGAGCATCCGTTATCAACTGACATACATATCACGGCTTCCTTCACTCAGTGTGTCTTTGGAGCATCCGTTATCAACTGACATACATATCACGGCTTCCTTCACTCAGTGTGTCTTTGGAGCATCCGTTATCAACTGACATACATATCACAGCTTCCTTCACTCAGTGTGTCTTTGGAGCATCCGTTAGCAACTGACATACATATCACGGCTTCCTTCACTCAGTGTGTCTTTGGAGCATCCGTTATCAACTGACATACATATCACGGCTTCCTTCACTCAGTGTGTCTTTGGAGCATCCGTTAGCAACTGACATACATATCACGGCTTCCTTCACTCAGTGTGTCTTTGGAGCATCCGTTATCAACTGACATACATATCACGGCTTCCTTCACTCAGTGTGTTTTGGGAGCATCCGTTAGCAACTGGTATACACATTATACTTACTAAGTAGTGTGTTGCAAATGAAACAACAGTTTAAACTACAATGTCCATGTCCGTCAAGGGGCATTGAAGTATTGTTGAAAAACGTGCTTAATGTTGTGTCAATTATCCTTATGAGAAACCAGTCAATTAGGTATATCTCTCCTATCCTCCTCTCTCCCGCACACATTCTCTCTCTCTCAATTGCATCTCATTGTCCCTGGATCATAGCTCATAATATGAATCACAATCTGGTCTAGACTTGATTATTTGCAGGCCACTGTAATATTCTGAAATATTCCTGAGCGCGGTGGTGAAGTTGACCAATGTAACCATCTGTTCCAGATTTTACTTAGCGAAACACAGTGGCCGTAAGCTGACGCTTCAACCACACCTGGGATCAGCCGACTTACATGCAACATTTTACGGCCCCAAAAAGGAGGAACCATCAGAGATGAGTGCGGCCAGCTCCGCCAAGGGGCCCCGGAAACACATCCTGCAGGTGTCCACGTACCAGATGTGTATACTCATGCTCTTCAATAATAGGGACAAGTGGACGTATGAGGTACACAGTTGTGATATTTGTCAGCGTTCTTAGTGCATGCTTCTCCAGGTGTGACAGTTCAGATATTGTCACTGTCTCCCATGTATTGTGATACATACACATAGCTACCAAGTGGTCCAAATGTTTCGTATTTGTTATGATTTTAGCAATGAAATTATGATTCTTCCTCCGTTCATACAAATAACATGCCAATCTTCAATAAAGTCAGGGGAAGGACTTAATTGTTAAGGACGCCAGTACACAAAGGGTTATTATTTAGCCTTACACTGTCTGATATAAAAGTGAGCAGTATGAAGTGTATTTATAGCTTTGCATCTGTCCATTCGAGACACTCGTATTATTGGAAGTTGCTGTTGAAAAAGAAACTAAGCGATAAAATTATCAACTGATCTACAGAATGACTTAGCTTGGTGTACAGTCAAGATGATTGTAACAAAATACTAATTGTAATATGGGAAAGTTGCATTTAAGACAAAATGCTTGACACTGTGTTGGCTTCATATGGTGTCATAAGAAACACTAGTTATTGGGATTTTTTACCTGGAATTGATGAAAGTAACCTTTGGATTAATTGTCTGAAACTGTTGTCGAGTGGAGACTGTGGCTGACCAACCGAGATCGTAGACTTGGTTGATTGTGTGTCATCAAACCCTGACAGCCTGGATTGTTGCTCGTATCAATCACTGGATTGTTCGGTCCAGACTCGATCATTTACAGACCGCTGTCATATAGCTGGAATATTGCTGAGTGTGGCATTAAACAACAAACCAACCAATCATTGTTGCTCCCTATTAATATTTTCTCTCTATCAGCGAAAAAGAAACTTGAGGTCGTATTATTTTGTAAAGTGCTTTAAATGACTAGCAGGAGGACAGTATGTGAATTGCTCCATTGACTGGGCTGCTGTATCATATTTCAGCTTCTGTAATGTCTTCTGTAACAGGTCAGGGGACACGGGTGGCCCAGTCGTCTAAGGCGCAGCGATTCGCTGTGCAGAAACCTATGATTGTGGGTTCGAATCCCGGTTTCCCCCGATAATGTTTCTAGGTTTGTCAGCACCATACCTGTGCTCATGGGTTTCACCGAAATGGTAAACTTCTGAGACCTGCATCACTTCGGGCTTTCCTCACACGCTGTGATTTTACAGGAATAATGTTAAAAGCGGTGTTAAACCCAACTCACTCACTCTGTAACAGGTCAGCATTTGTTTGCAGGAAGTAAAGAATGAGACCGATATTCCGGAGCGAGAGTTGACAAGAGCGCTACAGTCACTAGCTGTAGGTAAAATAGCTCAGCGGGTTCTACACAAGGAACCCAAGACAAAAGATATAGGTGAGTGACAGGAGCAACCAGCATCTCAGCAGGTGGCATGAGAGGCACAGTCGTCTAGCGCCTGTATCCAAATTGCAGAGTCACGTCCCTTAGGAGTGTCAGAAACGTATTATTGTGGGTTGGAATCACAGTTTGTCCTGATTATGTTTCTAGATTTGGCAACACCCAGCACCATGCCTGTGCTTGTGGGATTTAACAAAATGGTAAATGTGTGACCTGCATCGCTCCCACATAGAGCTGGCATGTCATGGACTGACTTACTTGTTATCCCGTGCCATGAAGTGGGGCGGAGGATATGGGAACAGGGTTCGTCTGTCTGTCCACTTCTCTAACTCACAGAGTTATGGCCCTTGCTTCATGCTTTTCATCTTAGTGCAGGCATGTGAAGAGGTCGGGTGGTCAGGCTCTCTGACGTGGTTGATGTATGTCATCATATCCCAGTTGCGTAGATCGATGCTCATGATGTCATCACTGGATTGTCTGGTCAAGACTCGATTACTTACAGACCCCCTTCACATAGCTGGAATATTGCTGAGTGCAGGGTTAAACAACAAACAAACAACTTACTGCATTCTGTTTGAAATGGGGACAAATTTTCTCAAACTACTGAAGTTCCATGAATGTAGGGGGGCACGGGTGGCCCAGTCGTCTAAGGCGCCGCGATTTGCTGTGCAGAGTTGCGTCCCTTGGGCACGCCAGAAACCTATGTGTGTGGGTTTGAATCCCAGTTTGCCCTGATTATGGCACTAGGTTTGTCATTACCATACCCGTGCTCGTGGGTTTCACCAAAGTGGTAAACATCTGAGACCTGCATCGCTTCGGGCTTTCCTCCCACATTAAGCTTACTTGCCGTGATATAACTGGAATACTGTTAAAAGCAGCGTTAAACCCAACTCACTCACTCACTCCATGAATGTAAGTCTGCCTGCTTTTCTAAGAGATCCCGTCTAGACTGAGTTTGAAAATTGGTTCCGTATACAGTTACGCCTTTGATCCATGTTTTACTTGGTGCATCATGTTAGCAATGGGGTTTTCTCAGAAATTACTGAAGTTAGCTTATCTAAGAGATACTTATGAAGAGTTATTTTTTCCAGAGAATGGGTCTTTTGTGTGTATAAATTTCTCATTTTATCATTTTTTTCTGATGACATAAAGTGGTCCAAGTGCCTATATAGTGCTTTATAGGACTCCTTTTTTTATAGTTTATGTTCACTACTATATGAACAAACAAAATTCTTATAATCTGCTCCATTGTGGGGGATAGTGATAACGCTGTTTTCAGGTTCACTCATTATCTCAGTGAATTCTGTGTGTTAAGAACTTAGGTTAGAGACTGGAGAAATTGTCAGTTTAATGAACCAGTAACATAAAAGAGTCTTGACTATTTCATGTGCAGCATTACAAGCAGGGTAGACACCATTGGTCAAATGACACTAGTCTCAGCTCATGTAGGACCCATGGTAAAATAACTGAATTTCTGGGATACTGGGAACTAGCCAGTCTTGACTGGTACTAATTTAGACTAGTGGCCGTGTCTATCCCTTACAAGATAACAACGTTGACGTAAAAACACTGGCGTCATTCAATGTCACTGGCTACTTTTACTCTGACAGCCTGGTTTGTCACTATCTACTTCATATGTTATCAGGTGCTATCATCTCCCTTGTTTTGTTTCAGAACCTAACCATTTGTTCACAGTCAATGATCAGTTCTCGTCCAAACTATTCAGAGTAAAGATACAGATGGGTGAGTAGAAAGAGGATGTTGTGCTGATGTTGGTCTCAGAAGACTGTTTAGCCAGAATGTACCATTTTCATCTCTTTAACTCCTTCCTATCACAATTGCAAAAAGTCTGTGATCATCAAGTAATCTAATCGCCTTAGCTCTTCCACCACATAAGGGGGCACAGGTGGCCTAGTCATCTAAGGCGCCGTGATTCGCTGTGCAGATTTGCGTCCCTTGGGCACACCAGAAACCTATGATTGTGGGTTCTAATCCCGGTTCGCCCCGATTATGTTTCTAAGTTTGTCAGCACCATACCCGTGCTCGTGGGTTTCACCGAAGTGGTAAATGTCTGAGACCTGCATCACTTCGGGCTTTTCTCCCACATTAAGCTGACACGCCGTGATATTTTTTTAAAAGTGGCGTTAAACCCAACTCACTCACTCACTCACTTCCACCTCACAGCTCATTTAATAGCCAGTGCCTGTCACAGTCCATTAAACAACAGGTCAATTTTGACCACATTTTAGATTTTTCAAGGGAATACAATCGATATAGCAGACCCTTATAAAACCAGCAACTGAAACAGAATGCATCAGAGCATCAGAGACTGATAGTGCCACCATGACTGTTTCCACTACATTGTAGTGATCTTGTGTGATGCTGTCTGTGTTTCAGTTGCGGCCAACAAGGGGGAGGCGGAGCCAGAGAGGAAGGAGACGAGAAACAAAGTGGATGAGGATAGAAAACATGAATATCCTTTGCTTCTATGTGCTGCTCTGTGGCAGCTGGTTAATACTTGGTACCTTGTGGGGATTCCGGGTTAGAATTGGTCCCCTATGCTGGTTGTAAGAGGCATCTTAATGGATTGTGTGGTCAGGGTCGCAGACTTGGCTGATTGCATTGTCGTACCCTGATGGCATGGATGGTTGCTCACGATATATCAATCACCGGATTGTCTGGCCCAGGCTCAGTTATTTACAGGCTGCTGTCATGTACCTGAATATTGTTGAGTGCGGTGTTATGCACATCAAACAAGCTCGCACACACGCACATAAAATACCGCCTTGGTCTGGCTGTGTATCACTAGCAGGTGCTGGTAGACTGTATCAACATGCCTTTGTCTGAGCCTGAATCACTGTCAGCCATGATTGTCATAACTGGCAACAAGAATGGGGAAGTGATTGTCACTGTGGATGCGGGATTGCATTTCGAGTGTAGGTGATACAGAAAGTCTCCCTGACATTAACAGCATGCCATTATGTTCCTACAAACCACCACACACTCACACACTCAGCCTAGATAATGAATCATTAATATTGACACTGCATGTAAACATCAGGGTATGAGTTCAGCTACATCATAACACACTCCCTGAAGAGTTTCTCTACTAGTACTTGCGTTCAAGAGGCTAGCCCAGATAATCTTTTCAGAATATTTTGGTCAGATTCTGAAAATGTGTCTGGATTTTGGAACTGCAAGTAAACTTCTCAAAAATGGGGTGGGGGATATTTGAACGGAGTGTTTCCGTCCGTTCATCCGCTTCTCAATGGGGACAAATTTTCTCAAAAACTATTCAAGTTAGAGGAATACATTTTTGCACACTGATGTTTTTGTTCACGATCTCAAATGAGTTCGAAAATTGGTGTCGCACAGTCATATTTTACAGAGTTATGGCCCTTGCCCCGTGTTTTTCAACTTAGTGCATAGTGTGTGCAATGGGGACAAGTTTTCTTAGAAACTACTGAAGCTATGAATGAATGTTTTCATGCTTATCTAAGAGATACTTATCAAGACTGAGTTATTTATTTCAGTGAAAGGGCCTTTTGTGTGCATTAATTTCACATTTAATCATTTTTTAATCATTTATCCCTTCTAACTTCTAATGTGCCTCATGGCGGGAGATAGGGATAAAGCTGTTTTCTTCTTATGTGTAAATTAGGTCTTATATCGTGTTTGTGTAAGAGTATTTGGAATTTTTCCTTAACTATTCTTACAATAGAAGCTGCTATAGTTCGTATAATGAAAGCAAGAAAGAAGCTACAGCACAACGTTTTAGTTGCAGAGGTGAGTAGACCAAGTCATCAGTGTTCCAGATGTAAGAGGCAACCTCAAGACCTCAGTTCTGTGACCAGGAGACGTGGCACACACTTTTCAGGCTCTCTACAGTTTCACTGTGTCAATGAAATCCTTTTAATTTGTTGATGTGTGTACTAGGGCTGGGATGAGTCCAAATTTACAACCCAGGTACTCGACCCCCCTATTACGTGACAATACCTGGATACTCGTTATCGATCTTAAGAATTTGGTACATAATGTACGATTGGGAATGGTTTTACCAGTGCCCTGGCAAATGCTATTTACATACACATACAAAACAATCAGATCATTCAAACACTGTAGCTGACTTAAGTTATATCATTACTCAAACGTTTAAAAGTCAGAAACAATGTATGCATAGTCAGAAAGAACTGCAAACACAAGCCATTTTTATTGATATTGCATTTAAACAATATATCCAGTGACTAACCACGGGTCCAGGAAGTCCTGTGGATACCCACCCAACCCGAGTACCCGAGTTACCTGTCCAGCCCTAGTGTTGACTCAATCACTATCTTTCGTATTGTTATACCCCCGTTTATAGTGTTCCGTCCGTCCGTCCTTCCGTCCGAGCTTTTGTACGGCCCATAACTTTTTAACCATGCACCCTAGCTTCACCAAACTTGCTACAAACATTTACCACAATGAGTACTTGTGCTTTTTGCTAGTTTGAAGATTGTGAACTTTTTAATTTTTGCCGTTTCCTTTGAAACATTAAGGAACTTAAACTTTTAAGGTGGTTGTTTTGTACGGCCTATATCTTTTTAACTATGCACCCTAGCTTCACCAAACGTGCTACACACATTTACCACAACGAGTACTTGTGCCTTTTGCTAGTTTGAAGATTGTGAATTTTTTTATTTTTGCCGTTTCCATGGAAGCATGGTGAAACATAAATTTTGGGTAGAGTTTTTGTACGATCCATGTTTACAATATTATGTATCCTAGCTTCTGCAAACTTGCTACATTAACCACTATGATTGTTTTTTTTATCTTTTATAAGATTCTGAAAGTTTTCTCTTTTGTTGTTTTCATGGAAACATGATGGAATTTAGAAATTTTGATGACTGGTTTTGTATAGCTCATGGGGTTACAAAGGAAAGGGCAGTTCCTCTGACTTAAAGCAACAGGTATATTTCATTAATTTACAAACTATTTACTATTTGTTGTTGACCAGCGGGGATAACGGGGGAATATGAGCTTTGCTCACTTCTTTCTTGTTTTTGAATGAAAAGGTTTGGTTGACAGTTGTTTGATGTTATTATTCCAGTGTACGGAAATGCTGAAGCCTCGCTTCCTGCCAAGTCCGGTGATTATAAAGAAAAGGATAGAGGGCTTGATAGAAAGAGAATACCTGGCCCGATCTACAGAAGACAGGTGAGACAAGAGCACCGCACTACCAAGACCCAACTTGGTTTTTGTACCTTTTTTCAGCAAAATGTAGTCTTAACATATCAACTCTGTTATGGTAATAGACTGTTTTGCTGTTACAAGATTATGTAGATGGTGGTATTGCTATCTTTAGTATGACTTATCTTGAGTGGTTTTACATTGATGTTGGCAGGAATGTGGGATCCATGACTAAGAGTCACTTTTTCCCTGTCTGCATGCACAATATGCATTATTGCTTTCTGAGCTCTGACTACAGTTGTCTGACCACAGTTGTCTGAGCACCAATCGTGATTCCTGAGCAATTGTGACTGCCTCCGTGGTCTTGTAATAGTGCATCCCTGGCCGCGTCATACCAAAAGACGTTAAAAGATGGTACTGTTGTTACCCTGCCTGGTGCTTGGCATTAAGGGGCTAAAACAAGGACTGGTCGGCTCGGAGGCAGTATAATGTGTCTGAGTGGGGTATTCATGTTAAACTCCGGCATGGCATCTCAGTGGACTAGCGCTATGAAAAAGGCATTAGTCCATGCACCCACGCATGCATGCACACACACACTCAACTCATCGCTCTATAAGTGCAATAATGTGGGACACCTAAGCAACTTAGGCAATTGTACCTCCCAATTCTTGTCAGACTTGCCTTATGACACCGAAGACCCTGGTTGCCCCAATGGGTACAATGTGTGAAGGGCGTGACTGGAGTCCCCTGTAATGATACTGAAATACTGGTAAAATCATCCTAAGGCCGCCTCAATGAACGCCAAAGGCTGTGTGGTCATGGGGACTTGAACACCCACAATAAATACTGTAGCAATTTGATGACATTTTCCTAATGACATTACCAGTTCCTTAACATCTCTACATTTGCTTTGACAAACCATCACCTATTATTCATTGCAATGTGTAATAATTCTTTCAGATTTACTATGTAATAGTTCTACATGTGCTGTCCATTTTTGTTCCAGAAAAGTGTACACGTATGTAGCCTGAGGGTGGACAGGCATTTCCTTGGACTTTGTCGCAGTTTGAAGATGGATATTTCCCAGAATAAACCTTATGTGAAGATATATGTACATATTTATATGATAAAGACAAAAAAATGTTTTTGTTTTTTTCTAAGACTTGGATATTAATTCTGTGAAGACTTTGGGGCGCAGAAGCCGTATTTATCCCATCAGTACGTATCCCAGGGACTGTGGAAGAGGAGGAGTTGTGTCTTTGCTCATGAATATTCATAACCAGCTGTTAAATATTCATACAGAGCTTGTGAATATTCATCTCAGTCTGACGATTCCTTACTGTGTTGTTGCTTGTTTATTGGATTATCAACATTGAATCACAACGGGGAAGGTTTGTAGACTTAACCAATGGTTGGAAAGAACATGGAAGCTTGGAACTATTTGTTCGAACATGTTGGCTGCTGTCAGTGGACGATGGCGACATGGAAGTGGAAGAAAGCGGAAGGCAAAATTTTATGAGCTGCTGTATTCAGATCAGACTTCAGCTGTCTGCTTAAAGTAGTCCAACCCTGATCTATGCACCAAATTTTTGAACACAGATTTTAACCAACTCACTGGCAGGTGTTTTGTCAGTAGTTGTTGGTCTGTTCAAAACAGGTGCATGTGTGAATGTATCATGTCTTTACTATATTTCCAGTTTCTAAATATAGCTGTTGGTGTGACAACCACTTTTACATCAAATACATGTTTGCTTTCAGACATGAAAGTGTCGACTTTAAAATGAGATGTGATACATCTCTGTTTAAGTAATAATATTTAGACGTTTTCAAATCAAGGTTTTTGTGGTGATTTACAATGGGAGATAATTGAGCTTTGCGGTAAGAGGGTTGTCTCCCCTGAATGTATAGTAAACTTGGATCTGTGTATTTAGTGTGTTGACTGATTCTGAATGTTAGAGAATGGTGTTGGGTAGTTGGACAAGCACTGATTAGTCTGATGATAATACACTGTGTATGTGGAGATCCCTTCGGCCATGCTACACCTTCGTTCTTACATGGGGCACTTGCTGTTAGTGAAAATCTACAGATCTGTTGCTACAAAAATGAGTCCAAGCTGCACGTTAATTTGAAGTTGCGAGAAGTAAATGTGTTTTATGTACAGATACATATTAATTATTAATCCACAAGAAATGTTCAAATGTATTTTTACATTAAAATCTGTGATTCAGAAAAGGAATTTCAGATATTAAGTTAATTCTCGTATGTTGCCCCTGTGGCAGACTTATGATTGTTACTCTGTTCCCTCAGTCTTTGTACATTTGTGGGAAGTACCCTGTGTGACTCCTTACTTCATGTAAAGCCTCTGTTATGGAATGTCATGTATATTTGACCTAGCATTGCACTGTTGTTTTGTCAAAGTTCACCTAGATCCCCAGTATATGCAGCCAAATACTTCAGCAAAACTAGTCATTGGCCTTTATGAACATTCAAGCAAAAAGCAAGCTTTTGTGTTGATAATATAACACTGTAGAAAAACCTTGTAATTCCAAACCCAAAACTATGTTTGGAGAGAGAAAGTATACGTAGGCCTCTTTGAGCGGCAATTATTGTTAATATATTCAAAGCTTCAAACACTGTCATGATGTCTTCATGTGATATAAATTAATATAATTGACAGATTGACTGAACGTATGGACGCTTTACGGTTATCTTCACAAGAAAAAAGTTGGCAACACAAAGACCAGACTTTTTTTATAAACCTTGATTTTCAAATCCAAACACTGTATTAATGGGATAAGAAAATGGGGGTGGGACTTTGTATTCCACCAAGGAACCAGTTCAAAAGTTCGATGACAGATAAAATACTTTATTTCTTAAGTTTTGAGGCATACACCACCACCACCCAAAAAACTTAATTCAGAAAAGTCCTGAGTTTTGTGGCCTCAAATCTGCCATTCTGTATTACACACAGCACTAGATGGACTTACCACTATTGCAAGCAATGATAAAACCCTACCTAGTGGAAGACTGGATGTATTTGTGACATATCCTAACAGTATATTCAGTAGGATCAGTTTAGTTTTGTAAAAATGTTAAGAAATCAGTTGAGCTGTTAAGAGATGTCTAACGGGATCCGAGGGTCCGACTTGCTGACATGGTTGATCCAAGTCATTTTATCCCAATATGTGGATCAATGCTGATGATGTTATCACTTGATTGTCTGGTCCACACTGCAGTTATATACCAGTAGCTGAAATATTACTGAGTGCGGCGTTAAACAACAAACAAATAAAACAATGCTAAGTTGACTTTGTCATCCCCTACCACTAAACCTAAGGAATTAAATTTTGTATACGATATGGAACTTTTGAACTGGTCCCCAAACAGAAATAAGTAAAATGGTAAAAAGAATAGATCATTTACTGTTGCTATCAATATAAGTATATATGAAGGACTAGAATTAAAATCTGTTGAAAATTTATCGTAAAACTTATTAACTTTGAATTATGATGAATCAGGCGAGGAAATCAAAACAAACATTCAAAAAATATTTATAAAATATGTATATATTCATTTTTTGGACCTACCTATCTGAATTTTTTTACCAAATATCTGTAAGTCCCCCAAAAGAAGAAGTCTGGTCTAAGATCATGTTGATATGTAATGTGGCATTAGTTTTAATTAACTGTCATAGCTGAAGGTAAATGGCAAGCTGTGACTGAGGGTCTAGGATAACTCTGTATGTAACAGGAGTGGGGTAGCGTGGCAGCCTGCCTACATGCTATACAGGGTTGCTGTGTGTACATCACGTGGCTGTGTACTGTCAGTGTGGCAGCCTGCCTACATCACGTGGCTGTGTACTGTCAGTGTGGCAGCCTGCCTACATCACAAGGCTGTGTACTGTCAGTGTGGCAGCCTGCCTACATCACGTGGCTGTGTACTGTCAGTGTGGCAGCCTGCCTACATCACGTGGCTGTGTACTGTCAGTGTGGCAGCCTGCCTACATCACAAGGCTGTGTACTGTCAGTGTGGCAGCCTGCCTACATCACGTGGCTGTGTACTGTCAGTGTGGCAGCCTGCCTACATCACAAGGCTGTGTACTGTCAGTGTGGCAGCCTGCCTACATCACGTGGCTGTGTACTGTCAGTGTGGCAGCCTGCCTACATCACGTGGCTGTGTACTGTCAGTGTGGCAGCCTGCCTACATCACGTGGCTGTGTACTGTCAGTGTGGCAGCCTGCCTACATCACGTGGCTGTGTACTGTCAGTGTGGCAGCCTGCCTACATCACAAGGGTGTGTACTGTCAGTGTGGCAGCCTGCCTACATCACGTGGCTGTGTACTGTCAGTGTGGCAGCCTGCCTACATCACAAGGGTGTGTACTGTCAGTGTGGCAGCCTGCCTACATCACGTGGCTGTGTACTGTCAGTGTGGCAGCCTGCCTACATCACAAGGGTGTGTACTGTCAGTGTGGCAGCCTGCCTACATCTCGTGGCTGTGTACTGTCAGTGTGGCAGCCTGCCTACATCACGTGGCTGTGTACTGTCAGTGTGGCAGCCTGCCTACATCTCGTGGCTGTGTACTGTCAGTGTGGCAGCCTGCCTACATCACATGGCTGTGTACTGTCAGTGTGGCAGCCTGCCTACGTAAGTGGCTGTGTACTGTCAGTAGGGTGGCCTGCCTGCTACATTGTTGCTGATCTACATCACATGGCTGTATACTGCGTGATGGCTCCTATTGTCACATCAGGGCAATGCACAACAACTCAAAATGTAAATATTCCGTGTCATGTCAGGTCGCACCTGGCACATTATGTCAGAACGTTTGATGATAGACCTGGGCTCATGACCAAATGAAAATAAAATTTAAAAACACCTTATAGAAGAGTTGAGCTTATATTTTGTTTTTCACACATGTGAACCAAGATCCATCTATGAAACTGTTACATTTGGGCTCAACTGTTTGGAGTGAATGAATGTTGTTTTATGCCTGTCAGCAATGTTACAGCTTTTATGGCAACCAGTAAATAGTCTTAGTGTTTGACAGAATGAGTAGTGAGTGAGTGAGTGAGTAAGGTTTTACGCTGCTTTTAGCAATATTTCAGCAATATCACGGCAGGGGACACTCAAAATGGGCTTCACACATTGTACCTATGTTGGGAATCGAACCCAGGTTGTCAGCGTGGCGAGCGAATGCTTTAATCACAAGGCTACCCGACCGCCCCGACAGAATGAGTAACTATCCATACCAAGGATACAGACGATTGTAACTTCCATACCCTCATGGAACTGCATCCAAGTGTGGATGGAGCTTCTGCCCAGATAGTTGAAGGTCGGTCATTCGAGTCAAACCAAAAGACGTTAAGACTCCATATGTTTACATGTGTTAGCTCGGCCCCACAATGCACTTGTGGAATGATTCGAGTTGTGGGATTAAACTGAAGCCAATTATGATGAAAATGTAAATATATATCCTTGTTATTGCTGCATGGAGTTATCGATAAGCACTCACTGAATGGATAATAAAATGTGACTTAGTTCAACCATGAACTACCAATTTCATAGGTAGGTACACTAGAGTGGAGAACCCTGTTATGTAGACAAAAAGGGTCGTAAACATATTGGCCAGTGAGGTCAGTAATGTAAACAAAAGGAGATTGGGGAGTTTGATGAATTGATGGTACGCCGGAGGACAGTTGGAGTCTTTTCATGTTAGAACCTACAGCGAAAAATCACTCCTAATTGTAATAAAAAAGTTGTTCATCCATAAATCTTATCCTTACTTAGTACTCTAACTTCTCAATGCCTCTCAAAGAAGAAACTGTTCTCTGTTGTAAAGGGAGCACGGGTGGCCCAGATGTCTCAGGTGCTGCAATTCGCTGTGCAGAGTTGCGTCCCTTGGGCACGCCAGAAACCAATGATTGTGGGTTCGAACGTCGATTCGCCCCGATTATGTTTCTAGGTTTGTCAGCACTATACCCGTGCTCTTGGGTTTCACCGAAGTGGTAAAAGTCTGAGACCTGCATCACTTCAAGCTTTCCTCCCACATTATGCTGACACGCCGTGATATAACTGGAATACAGTTAAAAGCGGTGTTAAACCCAACTCACTCACTCACTCTGTTGTAAAAGTTGCAACTTTGTTTCCACCACTGTCAGCAGACTGACGCAGGTGAAAGTTGTGAAATACTGCATTTACTGAGTTGGTTGCACTACAGGATACAGAAACCGACGTGAATCGACAGCCTGGAGCGTGATATGGCCTTGTCGCGGGACAAACATGGCGGAGCAAGAGCAACAGCGGTTCTGTTTGACTTCAGTACATTGCTAAATATGCTACACTGAGCAATAGGTAATGTGTTATGAAACATGGATGTTAAAAGAAACTATTTCACCAATAATTTGACGTGGCTGCTTCATCTTGCTTGACAGTAGTGAGAACGATGTCACCAAAGACGTTAGGTCACGGGGGAGGTAATTTGAACAGCACTATGATGTAAGGCCCATTATGACGTAACTGAAAAAGTGTTCTTTATTGCAAGATAATGTAAAGTAGGGGTCTTTGACCTTTTAGCGAGGCATCTTAGAAACTTCATCCATGTCACAGTACAAGTGCAATAAACTTCAACGCGTGGTTAAACCGAATTTTACCTCGGCTCACTTTTATGCCATGGTGACCGTCACAGCTTTGGAACCGAGCACCAATCTTCTCTTATTGTGGTCGGGTAACCTTGTGGTTAAAAGAGTTCACTCATCAGGCCGAAGACCCCGGGTTTCTATTCACGACATGGGTACAATGTGTGATGCCCTTTTCTGGTGTCCCCTACCCTGATATTGCTAAAAATCGCATAAAATCAAACTTCATGCAGCCTGACAAAACTTACCAGCCAAGGAATTTCGGGTTTGAATCGGTCCCCAGCAACCTATGCTGCCCATCAGAGGCAATCAAATGGATCAGGTGGTCAGGCTCAGGGATTGTTGATTGTGCTATCAAACCCTGAAGGCATGAATTGTTGCTCACAATATCAATCATTGGGTAGTCTGATCCAGACCCGGTACTTACAAGAATACCGGTTAGTGTGCTGTTAAACAACAAATACACAAGTTCAAAGCTAGTGTTGAACTAATGTAACTGGTATTGAAATAATGTTAATCCAAGGAGGTGAAATGGGGTTTAACGATGCATCCATGATTATCACACTTACATAGAGACGTGCATGCACGTGTGTGTGGCTGCTTGTACTAGTCCCTACTGATGCTGATTTACAGTGCTAACTCACTGAGATACCATGCCGCAGCTTAACATGAATACCCCACCCAGACAGTACACTGACTCCGAGCCGGTAAAAGGCGACTAACGGGATCGGGTGGTCAGACTCGCTGACTTGGTTGATGCATTTCATCGATCACAATTGCGTGGATTGATGCACATGTTGTCAATCCCTGGATTGTCTGGATTACAGACCGCCGTCATATAGCTGGAATATTGCTGAGTGTGGCGTAAAACAACAACCAACCAACGACTCCGAGCCGACCAGTCCTCGACTGGGATTGAACCCCGGACTTTCCTCTCTCCGGGCAGACGCTCTACCACTAGACCACAGAGGTGGTCTAATCCCAGGAGAACACTAACACACTGGCAAGTGACAATTATTGTTTGATGGTGCAAAAAAATTTCTGAAGTCTGTATCATTTGAACAAGAACACACAAAGCAGTTCATGTAAGAAACAACTTTATTTTCAATGGCATCATTCCAGTTCTATTGCACCAACCCTTTGAACTAAATCCCCCTCTAATGACCAGAGTTATCCCCCTCTAATGACCAGAGTTATCCCCCTCTAATGACCAGAGTTATCTCCCTTGGAGGGGAGGCTTTGTGCAGGAAATCACATTACTCATATAAAGTTCATTAAAATTATAATTACATAACAAGCATAATTGTAATTTACCTTGTTCTTTTCACATTTCATTGACCTGACCAAGAGGTTTGCTGAACAGATACAGAAACAATCACTGCGTCAAAACTCAGACACCAGTGGATACAGTAATATATTAACTCATTTCGAACACATATAAACACTTGCCATCATTTGGAATTTCATGCACCAAGTACTCAACTGATGAACACCATGGCGCATGGTCTGACACTCATACACTCATCACTAAGCTAGACAGTTTACTAGTCTTCTTACAACAGGCATTTGTGTCAATGTACATTCATGCATATTGAAGGTGTTCATCAAGCACTGAAATAAAACCTTTGTGACCATTAATCATGTGTATGGAGATGTACATCCCTTGGAGTTCTCCAGTGTGATAGCCAGCTAAGTTCTTTCTGTGAATGTCGAAATGGCTTCAATCCAGTTTATCTTCATATAAGGGTCTTGATGGGGGTGCTACAAGTCAATAAAATTTTGGACCTTTAGTCAGTAGTCGGTTTGTTTTAGGCTTAGTACAAAAAACACTCAAATAGGGGCCAAGCTGTCAAGTTCAATCTAAAATGCAAAATCATCTTTATGAGAATGTAGATTATCAGTGAGGAGGAAAACCATGGGACAGGTGAAACTGCCTTCGTTTCATTACTGCAACTTGTGTTTTGCAAATAAATTTTGTGTCGTCAGATCTAGTTATTCATTCAAATTTTACACGATTTCAGCACAATAACAATAGTTTTAACTTATGCAAAGCAGCTTTAATGGATAACTTACATTTATATTTTACGTTTATATAAAAATTTGACTGATTTATCATATATACATAAAGAATTTCACCCGAGTGTCTTTTGATATCAAATATATCAACGAGTGGTGATATATTTGATATCAAAAGACACAAGGGTGAGATTTTATTTATCATCCAACTTCATCCTTCCAACTTTTTCAGTTTGTAGACAGTAATTTGCAGTGTCTTAAGTGTAAAAAGTACTGCTAACAGCTTCAGTAGCAGAGCCATTAGTGATGCCATTTTATTGTGTAGTCATGGTAACCAGTGACGTCACAATGGTCTGCAAAGCATTGTGATGCAATTTCATTGCAGCGATATCTACAATGTAGATATCGCTTGATCTCACCCAAGCGATATATCTCCTGTGGGAGCCAGTTTGGGATGATAAAACACGATACACAAACAGTACACCTCATCAGGACCCACTCCTATGCATACTAACATTCTCATAGTACATGCAACCATTTTCCCCATAAAACAAAAACAACATACCCAGTCCTCCAACACACACATACTACACATGCCTAACCTAAGCTACACACCGAGCAAGTGGACCCTACAGCCATAACACAAGGGGTAATCTAGATCTGCCACAAAGCGAGGACAATATCAGCTCCCATTCTCTGACAATAGACGTAGAACTAAGATTGCCAAGTGGAACTTGCCTTGGCCAACGTAATAGCTGCACCACTACTGGCCAATCCAATCTGACCAAATGGCAAACCAGAGTGAGTGAGTGAGTATGGTTTTACGCCGCTTTTAGCAATATTCCAGCAATATCACGGCGGAGGACACCAGAAATGGACTTCACACATTGTACCCATGTGGGGAATCGAACCCGGGTCTTTGGCGTGACGAGCGAACGCTTTAACCACTAGGCTACCCGACCGCCCCGGCAAACCAGAGAGTTAACAGTCCAGATGAATCCATGATCTGATCCTACATAATCAGTAAACACGCACCCAAGAGATAGGTATCCCAGCTGGAGACTAGCTGAATACGACCCAAGTATTATCCCAGTTGAAGTACCACCATCCTAAGTATTACCCCAGTTTAAGTATCCCAAGTATTAACCCAGTATTAGAGAAGTACTACTCCATTTTTAATCAAGTATTATTAAAGTACTACCCATTACCTACCAAGTATAAATGAAGTA